ATATATATATATATATATATATATATATATGTATATATATACACACACACACACACATATATATTTTGTACCATATATTCATATATGAGGCCACATTTTATATAATATGATAAAAAGAAAAACACTATAAAATCCAATTGTTAGCTAAATTTTGTCTCTGCTAATACAACATGCAACGTAATGCTTTAAATTATTACTTATTATCATTATTATATACTTTGATGGTTAATTTATAATCATGGCAATCAATGGCTGTTATACTGCTATATAAAGATCATTGAAATTCTTTGTAATAAACTTTTTATCATAATTACATAAGATATTTTGCATAATATTACAAATATATAAACAAAAGTTATACAATTTTTGCGTTATTTTTATGTTAATTTTTCTTTGCCTCCTTCATTTCTTTACCTCTAAACATACGGGCGGCCTTCTGTGCCAACGCAATCACAACTGCATTGATATTACCGCTCGGTAGCGACGGCAGGACCGACGCGTCCACAACGTACAAATTTGTCATATTGTAAACTCTATAAATGAACACAAATGTAAAATATATATTATTCATATCGTAGTAATATATGAATTTTATAGTGATAGTTATGATGATATGTTACTTGAACGATGGGTCGACGACATCACCTATGCGACATGTACTGGCTGGATGATAACTTGTTAATGTCAAATGTTGTACATAACATCTCCAATATTCTTTAGTATCGAAGACTTCGTTCTCACAACCGGGAAAGGGGTTTTTATTCAAAGACGCACCATAAGCTCTCAAAGCATTCGTTTCCAAGAGCTTCTTCACAAAATACAAACCTAAGCATTTTCATACTGGTATTACATAAAACATTACTATGTAAGCATAAAAGCGTTTTTTAAGTTATAGCGGTGTCTGTATTAATATATATATATATATATATATATATATACGATTTATATGTGTATATACGTGTATATATATACGATTAAAGTACATATAATATTATTGTACATGTGTTAATTACCTCCTATAATACCTTACTATTACCTTCTATATTACCTTACTATAATATTATTGTACATGTGTTAATTACCTTCTATGAGAGTTTCGATGTCGTCTTCATCAGATAGATATTTCGGGTCAATTAAAGGTTCATCGGAAGGATCATTGCTTTTTAATCGTAGCTCTCCGCTACTTTTAGGATGTAGTAAAACAGGCGCGATTATCATTGTATTCTCATGTAAAAGGGGTGTGAAATATTTGCTATAGACCTATAAAGATATTTACATGCAAATTCAGTTTTTTGAATAAAATATCTGAACATCTCTTGGTTCTAACTTTGGTATAATTTAGATTATGTTACTCACATTACAAGTTTATTTTATATAATGTACATGTATATACCTCATCAGAAATTCCCATTGCTCGTTTGAATATAATGCCGTTATCCTTTGATATACCAAAAGGTAGCACCATTAATTGTAAATCTGGTGCTACAGACTTATTTTTGTTTAAAGCACTATGGAAAGTTCCCAATACTTCAATTGCTGATGATGTCCATTGACCTGAGTAAATAAATAAATTCTATATATTGAAAAATATATATAGAGAAAGAATATATAAAAAAGAAAATACATACAGAGAATGTATTCATTGTCATTTATTTTCGTTAATATATTCTCCTACCTTCTCCATAAAAAAAGTAATTAAAGGCTGATATAGGATTCAAGATTTCAAGAAGATTCAATCCGAGGCTTACATTAAGAGTGACCAAATCAACACCAGTCAATATATGATCTATCAAATTCTGACCAACTGGCAAATCATTGATCACATGAATCTAAATAATATAATAGATAATTGATTACAAAATAAATACAAATAAAATGTAATGTTATACTACCATATATGATATATGGTATATATTATATATGGTAGTATAACATTATATATATATATATATATGTGTATTTTTATTTTATTTTAAATTAGCAAATTTATTTACACATTAACATATATTACAGACTGCGTGAAAAGATTTGCGAATAATATATATTCAATTCTCTTTTATCAGAAAAGAAGTTTAGAGCTCTCTTTGTCGTATGTGATAAAACGATAGGTTTGTAAGGAGCTATATATGCGTATACTAATGTATTTGGAACTAAATTTTTGTAATTACGAAGGATTACTTACGTTTAGATCTTCTAAATGCTTTCTCGGTCCAATGCCAGATAACATTAATAATTTTGGACTTTCGATCACACCAGCACTTAGAATAACTCCTTTTTTCGCCATAGCAGTGTATTTCTTATCTAATCTAATAAATTCAATCCCCTCAGCTTTATCCGAGTTCACCAATATCTAATGCAATGATGTTAATTACCTATAACTTATTATAACTTGGTAGTTTTAGCATGTGATGAAGAATGCGGTATTTTTCGGATAAACTTACTTTAGTTGCAAGTGCATGAGTCAGTATAGTTAGGCCATGTTTTTCATACAATAGTTGGTCTGTACTCCACCTTTTACCATTTTTCATTGTTAACTGAACTTTCATGAAACCTAGATAAAAAAACACATTGCTGGTAAAAATGCAATTTTTTTTTTTCAAAACATACATTAATTTAATTTTTACTTAAAAATGACACCTGTGTCCAATTTTGTATTCATGTCGCCCACATCGTGACTTAATTCTTTTAGTGCTTCCAAGATCACGTTGGCAAAATCAGATTGCCATTTCAATTCACTTATGCTTACTGAGTCATTGTTTTCAGCAACTATCTCTAAAAGTACACAGATAAGAAAAATTTAAAGATATTTTAAATATACTTAAATATTACTTAAATATATATATCCTCAAATATCATTAAATATACACAGATTGTTACGTGAAAATCTCATGTACGTAGAAAATCTGGAAACCATTCTCCATAGTCCAGCTGATGTCCTAGTACATAGGCCATGTAATTTAAACGGCTAGATCCTCCAAGAATTTTACCCCTGGGCCATATGCTTTGCTATAGAAATCTTTATGGTAGTATATACACTAGATGTTTTCAAGTATACATGTACTACTTACATTATTGACCAAACATTTACACGCATGTTTCTGAGGTACAGTAACATATTGCCAATCATAAGCAGTTTTTTGTATCGCCGATGCCAAGAATGGTATGTCAAGAAAGAGTGGTGGAATACCACCTGCTTCTAACAATAATATGCTGTGATTACCTTCTGTCAAGTGTGTTGCTAGAGTTGCACCGGCACTGCCAGCACCAACTATAAGATTACATCATATATTACAATACATATTACAGTTACATAAATGTGTACAAAAAATATATAAAATATAATAACAAATTTATATTATTGAATCATATTAGTCATGTTTTCACATAATTATTGATATGTGTCTGTGTGTGTAATTTAACATTACATTTATAATTAAACATAAAATTTATATAAAAAATATTTTCATTTGAATTTGATATATTTTATTTTATAAGTGTTGGGAATGTAAGCAAAATATACAAATTAATTCCACTCTACCGAATATATACGATAAAAAAATAATGTGAATTTTGAATTAAACATGCAGCTTACCAATAATATAATCATATTGTTGCATATCTTTAATGTTATTATTGAATATCCATTGGAGATATATATCTACTAAATATGCAAAATGAATATAAAAAATAAATACTATTATTGATATGCTTAGAAGCATAAATTGTATCGACTTCATAAAAATAAGCATATTGTACGTTTTAAAGGGAAGAAAGGGAAGAGCAAAATTGTTAGAAAAAAGAAAAATAAAAAATGCATAAATATCGAACAGTGAATGCTAAGACCACACACACAATGCAGATAGACCTGTAGAGTAAAATTACGAGAGACGAAACTACATTGTCGATATTCGATAATGCAACGTCCAATGAGAATACGTTTTCCTAACGTGGTACCCAATGAACGTAGTGAGACGTAGTGACTATTTTTTTTATTGAACTCTAATCTACCTGTATTTAAATAGTCGTTGAAAAGATGTTGCGATATGAGCATACTCCGTGATATTAAATAAATATAAGTATTAAATCTTCGCCTTACTAAAGTGTGTGCGATGAGTCTGTTTTATGTTAAAATGAAAACAGTGAAAATTAGCAAAGGCCCCTACACCCCTACATTGCTTAAATTTCGTACACTTTTCACACGATCATGTGATCACAAAGCATGCGCATGTGACCTTAGAGCATGCGAATGTGATCACGAAGTATGCTCATATCGCAACATTTCGTCGGTATGACAGGCTTCCTAACCTGTCAAGTCGTCAATTTTGACAATTAATAACTCGCTTCGCGGGGCAGAGCGATACTTTCTTCTGCCAGATTCTTTCGTTTCACGTAAAAACGCGTCAAATAAGTGTAATTTCATCATATATTTGTGCTGGTGTAGCTGAACAAAATATTTACCGCTGCTTCAAATAAATATACCAGAGGTAGAAATTTATACACGGTAACTAAATAATTTCTTCATTGTTCTTCCGTGGTGCTCGAGCTCTCTCCCATTTTCGCTGTTATCATCTGTGTGAATGACAATTGAGGTTATGATATCGTCGATAAAAACAAATTAACGAATCGTGAATTGCGTTTTTCAGATATACGCCTCGACACTTTGGTCGTCTATCTGGATGATATCGTCGAAAGATAAGCTTGGTGAAAAGGAAAAGTCGCATTAAAGTCGCGATCAGCATGGCATCGGCAATAGAAATTTTAGCGAAACAGGCGATGAAGACCTTCGGCGATCGCAGGAGCGTTAGCTACAGGCTTTGCCAGAAAAACCTGGACAAATTGTGGAATCTGATGAATAAGATAACTGCCCAGGATGTGAAACTGGATGACAGTGTTCTCAACTACGTCAATATACAACCAGCACCTATGTGTGTGATGGACATATTCGAAAACAAGGATATAACGATCGCGATTTTCATACTTAAACACGGAGTAATGATGCCTATGCACGATCATCCTGGGATGCACGGTTTGTTGAAGGTAAGGTATATCTCAAATATTTGTACTTATCTTACAACAGGGATAAACTTCAGAGGTCCTGAGGGTGGACTGAGGTGAACAGAAAAATCCTCTACCAAACATGTAAAATTCGAGTTATTAATTATTGAAAATGGTTATATATAAAGGATTCTTCAATTAGTGACTCAAAACTTTGCATGTTATTTGCAAAATGATAAAGGTTGTTTTTTTTTTTTTCAGAATGGTCTGATCTATAAATATATGACAGCTGTTGTACATAGCAACAGACATCATTGTATCGAACTTTGTTGCTAGGTACAACGACTATCATATACTTGTAAATTAGGCCTTTATGAACAAAAAGTTATTTCACCATTTTCAATAATTAATAACTCGAAATTTCACATCTTGTTTGCAAAATGATAGAGGACTTTTTTGTTCATCTCAAACCGTTCTACTATCCCTGTTGGTCCTAGACTCCCTCTATATAATGACAAAACTCTATTCTGACCATGCACTTATGAATATGTTGATACCAAGTGAATATTAAAACATGTAGGTGATCAGCGGTATAGTGGAATTGAACAGTTATAGTCTGAAGACGAAAAGCGATCATATAATTAAGGCAAACGAGGAGATTGCGGCTCTCAGGCACCGTCCGGTAACTCTTCACAGTAATTCGCTTGCTTGTGTTCTCACACCGTCAGACAAGAATCTACATCAAATTTCTTGCATCGAAGGACCTGCGGCTTTCTTGGACATACTCAGTCCACCATACGATGTCGATATATTCGGCCATGGACCAAGACCATGTACATACTTTAAAGTTATCAGATCCAAGCTATGCGCAGAATGTACGGATGTGATTGAAGAAGTGCACTTATCGGTCGTAGAAAGTCCACCGGACTTCTACTCCACGAGTTTGGAATACATTGGACCGCCATTAAAAACCTACAACGACTGAAACAACGTTTTCTTTCGTTTTCTACAAAACTCGTGGATTTTAAATTCGTTACGTTCGTTCTTCGATATAATAATCAGGATTGGAAAGTAAGGCGTTATTCAGAACGCCGTTACTATTAGATGTTATTTTTTCTCAGCGATAATTTGGTAAGGACACTATTTCTTCTCATTAGTAACGGGTAACGAGTTACTTTGTGAAAGTAACTTTTCAATCCTGTTAGTAATGTAGGATAATTATACGCTTTATTTCATGTAATTGCACGCGAAGCTTGTGTTTCTCGAGTAATCAGTCGAAATAATTATTTCTATTAAGATCAAAGCAAGAGCAAAATAATTATTAAGTGTCAGATGAGGTCACAAGAATATACGACAAAAGCGCAAGGTAGAAAAAATTAAATTGCACATCCGTGTTACTGAAACTGTTCTCATATACTAGCTGACAATTGCATAACAATATCAAATTATGATGCAAAAGAAAGGAGCACGATAGCGCTCCTTGGTATTTTTCGTATGTACAATGAAGAAACGCAATCGTGGCATTCAAATAGTTGATCATACACAATTTCAATTTAAAATAGTTTTAGTTCATGGGCAAACACTGTACATTTTGTTACATCTATTATTTATTTTCATCCTATAGTTACTTTGTAGTGTTATATATATATATATATATATATATATA